AAAATTTTATTGTCGGCCACAAAATATTAATTAATTAATTAATAATTAATTTTTCAGTTAGAGCTCGCCTTTTTAATGAAAACACTTGTTCCGCTACTCTTTTTCAATAAAAAATTAAATATAATAAATGAAACCAAACTACCTGGAAGGTCACTCAATTTCAGTTTGAAGCAGCTGGAACATACCGTTGATTTTTAGCAATTTCTTTATTGTTGAAGCTTTAGCTCTCTTCTTTTCAGTCGTCGAACACACGTTGTATAGAAGAAAGTGTCTGACCCCATCACAAAAAAAAAATATCAAATATCAATGGTACGTCCTAGCCAAGGCACATTGAACAGGTAGTATCAGCAAAGCAGCTGATTCGATTTTTGTTTTAATTATTTGGTCTCGAAAATGTCAAATATTTGTAATTTTTCTCACAAAAATTCCAAATTGTTAAATCCATTTGCTTGTGAAAACTTTTTCCATACTTTACTAAGAAAGAAAGTTGTCACAATTTTAATTTTTTCTAATTTAAATTTTTAATTACTATTTTTTGTATTTCATATGGCACCCTTTGATTTAGAAGAAAAATATCAGAACAATTTTGGACACTTTCGATACCAGAAACAAACACAAAATACACGAAAATGTGCTCTTGCTCTGATGCTACTACCTGTTTGATATGCCTTGGTCCTGGCTACTTCAAACTTGTTCTTATTTTACTACACTGAACCAAAAAAATACTAAAAACCGCCGTAAAGTTAACATTTTTTGTTTACAATTTGCAACTGAAGTGAAAAAATGTTAATTTTAACATTTCGACACTATCATTTTTACGTGAAATTTATGTACATGAAACACGTAAAATTAACATGGCTATCATGTATTATTGATATGATACTCATGTATAATTAACATGATATTTATGTAATACTTACGTGACAGTAACGTTAAAACTACATTCAAAAATTGTTAATTTGAAATGATACTTACGTGACAGTAACGTTAAAACTACATTTAAAAAATGTTAATTTCAAATGATACTTACGTGAGAGTAACGTTAAAAGTACATTTAAATAATTATGATTTGAAATGAAAATCACATCAAATTGAAATTATTTTCAATAAATTTATTATTTTTTTTTAAATAAATAGGCACATATTTACATATTTTTAATATGAATAAACAGGTACTAAAAATTCTTATTTCTTATAACAGGAGTTCCTTCGTAAATGTAGTACAAATGAATAGGTGGGCTTGTGAAAAACTCAACATTTTTTAATTCAATAACATTGTTTATACAACCCACTTTGTACGATTGATAGTGCTCTAAGAAACCAATAATTTCATATTTGTGGACTAGAAAGTAAGCCTCATTATTTAAACTTATAAGTATTTCTTTTATTTCATATAGTTCAATGACTTCGTCAGTAGTTTTTGTTAAAAAGTGGCCCTTTTTATACGTCGTTCCCTTAAAGTTTACTGATTTAACTTTTAAATTATTTGCGAACAAAGATTCAAAATCTCGAAAATTCACGATATTGTTAAAATACCTACAATCTTTAATCCGAAAATGCTCAGTTTGTTCATATTGAGTTTGGTTAGGAAACCCATCGTTATGGACCCTTATAAATGTTGTAAACTTTAAAGATGCTTTCATGCTTAGACTATAGGTTATATTTTTTCTGGAAGTAATACTTCTTGCATACATTTTTGCTTCCTTGTGCTTAGATTCGAATCGAAAAGTCCATAAGTATTTAAGAGGGCCTGATTGTTTTATGACACGCACATAATGATTTAAAAAGTGAAATTTAGGTTTAAGGGGCTGGTGAAACAATTCCAAATACTTTTCATTATGGGATTTTATTAAAGAATCTAACTTAATTAAATAATTTGTATCAAATGAGCTGCTATTAATCATGTCAATAATTTTGAGGAGCGTTAAAAAAAATAACCAACATTCGTCGTTGTCTGGAATGCGATCTCCTATGATTAGAGGAAGGAAATGTACAAACGTCATCATTTCTCTAGCCGACATTTTGAGATTGCAACTAGAAAGGTGTGTTAATTCAAAAGGAGGTGATAAATTTCCGATTTCCGTTTCACCGTAGTTAAACATCTGCTTCCTATAGTTAAATGCTTCTAAGGAAAATAATTTCTTTTCAATTATGAAGTATTTTAGAATTTCACAAATATCATATTTACAAACTCCCTCAAACAAATCGTGTACTATATCTACCGCAAAATTAGTTGTTGCATGAAAAGATATTAAATCATTAAACAGGCAATTCGATTTTATACCAGTAAGCTTAATGTCGTTAGTTGCTAATGCCGCATTATAATTTTCCTCAGTCCTGATGAAGTCTGGATACTCCACGCAATCTAAATGCATCTCAGCTTTGTTTCTCCTACAGAATCGGCAATAGTAATTCGAATTGAAAGAAGTTGTAAAACCAAGAACGTCATTTAAGCCTAAATTATCACCAAGAATATTACACATTACAAAGTAAATTTTTTCAGTACTATTATTTAAATTAAATTGTAGACCGTCTTCTTCAAGAGACTTAAATATATCAATTAGTGGCTTCATAAAAGGCTCATTTCCAAACATTTTTTGTTCTTTACTTTTGAAGTATGCTGCTACAAATATGTAGTTCAGATTAGACAATAGATATTGCGGCAAAGTTGGAAAAATATAATAAACACCACAAATTTTGTCTATATTTGCATGACTACCCAGCGGATTATTAATTTCAAAGCTATCCATGTAAATGAAAAACGGTATTATAGTTTTACCAACAAAAAACTTTAACTTTTCTTTAAACGAAATTGAGTTTATAAAATGCGTGATTGAGGATGAATTAACCAGGTCTTTTATATTATTTAAAGTAATTTCCAGAACTGAAGGCAATTCGAAAAATTTTCGAATTTGAAATTTGATCGGCATTATGCAACCAAACACATTACCTGCTTCTAAAGTTGGTCTATTATTTATAATAACTTCACACAATTCATTGTTTATATTAAAAAACTGTGGTTTTGAAAATTCGTCTGATTCTTCAATGCTTTTGAATAACTTATATTCGGTTTGAAAGTCTTTGAATGGGTTTTCGTAATAATTAACTAAGTCTATAATATCTTTTCTTTCATTTTCAGGCGTATAGCAAAAAAGTTTATTTTTTAATGGTTCCACAACGCTAAAAATTATCGCAGACACACTATCCTGAATTGATAGAACATCTTTTCTGGTCATGTTGCTCTTAGTATGCAAATCTAATAAAAACGATTGACATTTTTTTGATACATTTAACTTACTTTCTTTAATTTCGCAAGTATTGCAAGAAGGTTTAGTTGAGGCTGCTATTTGAGCAACTATTTTAGCGCTATCGTTTACATAGGGTATATCAAACTTAGTTCTTTTAGATTGTGGTGATATTAGCTCACTTTCGGTGAAATGTTTCAAATGGTTTTGGGTATGCCTTTTAAAACAATACAGGTTTGAAAATAATTGATTACAATTTGAAAAAGTACATTGAAAGTCACTATTGCGTGTCAAGCGATGAGCATCTTTAAAGTGTTTAAGTAGTATTGAGAGTTCAATAAAAACTCTATCACAAGCAAAACATTTGATTTCTTTACTCATTTTTTATTTATGATTTAAATAAGGTCAAAAATTCACATAAAGCTGAGCTTTTTATGTCATAGACCGTTGTTATCTTGTAAATTTGTTTTTGCAAAAAATACCACATCAAAGATGACTCTCTTGGATACTCTAAGTTAAGGACATGAAATACTTTAAAACAAATGTCTAAAGCAGCTATAAATGAGTGAAATTTTTGTAAAGCTCCCCCATAATTTACATAAAACTCAGTTAAACTTTTTATATCTGAACCTACTACAATAAGATACGGTTGAATTTTTTCTTTCCTGTGCATCGATTTTTTTACCTTCTCTGCGTACGTAAATTCCAGATCATTTATATTCGTAATATGTACAATGCAACTGTCCATAGCATCTCGAATAGTAGTTTTACTAGTAACACGCTTTCCATCAATTTCTGCAACATATCGTGATGTGGGTTTCAGTACAGCATTTAGCAGCATTATCAAAATGCAATCTTTGGAATCTACATTTAACAAGAAAAGTATTATTTTAGTTTAAAAAGTATCTTATTTATATGTATGAACGTGTACACATAAATATGTATGTATATAATATATATGTTACTCACTGTCGTTTACACATTCGTTGCTTACTGACCCAAAAAGATCTACATATTGTTTATCCCTCAACAAATCTTTATAAAGTTGGCCAAGTTGGTTCCGCATATCTGTCCAATTATTAATTAGGTGGAAATTTTCGTCTGGGTACATTTTTTGGAAGTCAAAATCGAGCTACATACATAAATTAAAAATAAAAATATGCGCATGTAAGTGTAACTACATTAGTGTGTTTTAAAAAAGTTTAAGTACGTACAAATTTTGGTCCTGTAGCTTGTTTGTAGAATGGCCACTCTTCCAGGATTGACGTTAAGTCTTTTAAATCACGGATATGATTAACCCGGTATTTATATGTCTCGCTCCATAAGTTAATTGCATCGCTTTCGTCACCACTCATAAAATACATTTTATTCTTAAATGAAATGTAATTAGTGGAGCATAGTGTTTCCCTCTCAGATGCATTCTGTTCCTCTGACGTGTTGCTATCAAGTCTTATGCGCTTGCGATTCAAGTTATTGAAGCGATTGTATAAAATACCAGATGCATTGGTTTTCCGTGCGTCCTTGCGAGATATGTAATAGATTTCCTTATTTTCAGTAGGAAAAATTGCTACAATTTCTTCAGCCAATTTATTCATTTCATGTGGACGCGGTATTTTGTACTTTTTCGAATTTAAATCGAAGAAGTTTTCCACAATAATGTTAAGCAATCTTTTTCTATCACCTGCATCTAACTTTTGCTTCGTTTGATATAAGCTTAATAGAGATTGGCCACTTTTCGAGTTTTTCACGATGTCAATTACACTCTACAATAAAATTAAATTTAGAAAAAAAGCACCGCTTAAAAACAATCGTTACCGTGACTTCAGACGAAGTGGAATTGGTAGCTGGCGAGTCAAGAGGTTGATTTTCAATCCAATTTTTGATATTTGAGTTCATACTTAGAGTCGAAACAGATTCTTCTGGAAACTAAAAAGAAAATAGTTAATATTCAAACAAATTATACTAGTTACAACTTTATAAATAAATATATTACGTTATTGTGCTTCCAAAGCCTTATTTTTTCCCTTAGTTCTGCTCTATAACCGATATTTTCGTTCCCTGGAAATACCAACGCCAAGTCGTCACAGTTTATGTACTTCAGCCGGTCAAATGTGATTCCAGAAGCTTTAGATGGGTCAGTAAAAACATTATCCATTATGAAAGATTTTTATTAAAAAATAAAACAATCACCATAAAACTTGTCGTAAGCGGCTTCTATATTCATCTCTTTTAATAAGTCTTTTAATCGCTGATCTCCTCCTGATTGAGTTTCGACAATCTAGGAAAACAACATCGTAGTATTATGATCAGTCAATGTCGTTACAGCTTTAAGTTATACGTGTAAAAAACATGTCTATTATAGAAAATCATTTCTTACCTGTTCTAAATTTCCACTTAATATTTCATACTGAGCAGATTGCGTTATGATTTCTCCATTTCCACCAATTTCTACAGGCGTTGCTTCCAGAACGATATGCTGCCCTGCGTCATTCATAGTCAGCGAAACATTTTCGCCAAATAATAAAGAATTATCACTCATTTTCACAATCTCTATTAACTTTCTGAGTTGTTTTTTATTAAATATTCTCACAGTTTGCACTTTAAAAAGACTATAAAACAATTTCAATGCGATTTTCAATAGATCTAGCGTTTTTTATTCTTTGCATGCGCGAACATGAGTGTCAACTGCTGTTGTCATTTTAATATGAGAATAATATAAAAATGTGGATTTAACAGTTTTCATATCAATTTGACGTGAAACCTATTGTTTTGA